ATAAAAGTGACTCCTGAATAAATCCTAGAAACCTAAAGAATTGCACACTTAGTAGAAACCTACTAGAAATAACTGGGTGCCTGGGTGGCTCCGTTGGTTAAGCGTCTGACTTCTGTTCAGGTCACGATCTCACAGTTTGTGAGTTCAAGTCCTGCGTCAGGCTTTGTGCTGACAGCTTAGAGCCTGGAACCTGCTTCAGATTCTGTGTCTCTCTCTCTCTCTCTGCCCTTCCTCCTTGAGTGCTCTCTCTCTCTCTCGCTCTCTCTCTCCTTCAAAAATAAATAAACATTAAAAAAAATTTGTTTAAATCCACCTGCCAGCAAAGAGGGAGATGTGACCAATCTAAGCAGGACTTGGGAAAAAAAAAAAATCAAACGATCATTTATAATATCTATATAATAATATAGATATTATACATCTAGTAGTAACCTGTAGTCACATTTATTAGCTGGTTTAGGAAACTCTAAGTGAAACAATAAAAGGTAGATCTTTGTTGGAAGTACCTATGAGAACTTATAGAAACAACCTAAATTTTCTCCATGAAAACCCTCTTTCTCTCAATTTGTCCATGTGATCTACACCAGATAAGCTTTATCAAACATGAGGTCACAATCTGCAATCCCAGAGCACTTTGGAAAGTGCCGGCCACGACCATGGAGAAGAGCCCACACAAGTAGGGGTTCAGCCACTGAAACTATAAAATAATAAAATTGTCAGAAACAAATTATAAATGTGCACGTGTAAGATATGCTAAAATTTAAAGGATGTAATTTAAAACACCAGAAAGGAATAGGATAATATTATTTTTTGGAAGATTTTTTTTTAAGTTTGCTTGTTTATTTTGAGACATAGAGAGAGAGCCAGGGAGGGGCAGGGAGAGAACCCCAAGCAGGCTCAAACCCACAAACCGTGAGATCATGACCTGAGCCAAAATCAATAGCCTGGTGTTCAACTGACTGAGCCACCCAGGCATCCCAAGGGACAGGATAGTATTAAAACAAAAGCAAAACCAAAACCAAAACAAAACAAAACAGAACAAAACAAAACACTGGAGAGATTTAGAAAAACAAACAAAAAAAGAGAGAAATTTTAGAAACAGTAAATATAGTTACAGAATTAAAACTCATTAAGATATATTAAACATCCGATTTGACACAGATAAGAGAGAATTATGGAAAGATACTCACAGAAATTTCATATGGAGCACCTAAAGAGAAAGTTCTGGAATATACAAAAGAGTAAATCAAATAACAGAAGTTGAAATGGCAAGATTAAATGTAGTGTCACTGGATTTCCAAAAATAGAAAATAGGGCGGGTGGCAGATAGTTTTTAACACAAAAATATGAGGAATTGATGCAGAGAGAAGCGATTGGGACATAAATTGATGTATATGTGGATGACTGCCAAACAAATACTGGTCACGTAAACAAAAATTTCAATGACTAATTATTAAGTCCGTCAGAGAAAGACAGATGTCATATGTTGTCACTCATATGTCACTCATTGAGAAACTTAACAGAAGTCCATGGGAGAGGGGAAGGGAAAAACATAGTTACAAACTGACAGGGAGTCAGACCATAAGAGACTCTTAAATACAGAGAACAAATTGAGGGCTGATTGGAGGGGAACGGGGGGGGGCAGAGGGAAATGGGTGATGGGCATTGAGGAGGGCACCTGTTGGGATGAGCACTGGGTGTTGTATGTAAGCAATGAATCATGGGAATCTACTCCTGAAGCCAAAATCACACTGTATACACTGTTTGTTAGCCAACTTGACAATAAATTATATTAAAAAACAAAAAACAAAAAACATGTGGTAGGATTAAAGCACAAGAAAATTAACACAACACTTGGGAAGGGAGTTAGCTGGAATTAAGCCGCTGTAAAGTTTCTGTGTTATTTAACATGAGGGTAGCGGAATTAAAAAATTTTAGACTTGGTCACAGGTGTACATCAGTGAAAGCCTTTAATTTCAAACACAGTGGAGGATGTAATGGATTTCAAAAAACTCGTATTGGACGAAATTGTCAAAGTAGCAACTGAGAGTGTCAGGATCAAAAAAAAAAGCACAAAATACGGGGGAAATGAATCCAACATTTTCAATAGAATAAATGCAAACGGGCTAAACTCACAGGTTTAAAACAGGTTGAAATCCTATTACAAATGCCTAGGGGAATAATATTTATGAGGGACACATTTAAACCCATGCATATGCCAAAAAGTAAGAAAAAAAAAAAATACCATGATAGCATTCCAGACCGAATAGAAACCAAACAGTAACACTGCGTTCAACAATATAGTCTGCCTCTTTTTCACATGCTGGGACGTGGTTGCCCCCTTCTCAAATGTCCAAAGATTAAAATCCAAACAAGTTATCTGAACACAAAGGAATTCGTCTATTAAATTAAAAAAAAACCTGCAAAAACTAGAAAAGCCCTACATTATGAGAATTTGAATAATGTGCATCTAAATAATCTCAGGTCAAAAAAAAAAACCTCGAAGTAGGAATTAGAGAATATTTTGGCTATTAAGATACAACCTGCCAAATCTTGCAGGACGGACCTGAGGTCATGCCCAGAGGGAGAGTTAAGCCCTGAACACATATTCTAGAAATGAAGAAAGGTCAATTTTAAGAAGCAGACACTTAAAAGAAAAGTAAAGATCCAGTAGAAGAAACACCAATAGTAACAGAACAGTTTTAAAAACCAACAACTGGGGCGCCTGGGTGGCGCAGTTGGTTAAGCGTCCGACTTCAGCCAGGTCACGATCTTGCGGTCCGTGAGTTCGAGTCCCGAGTCAGGCTCTGGGCTGATGGCTCGGAGCCTGGAGCCTGTTTCTGATTCTGTGTCTCCCTCTTTCTCTGCCCCTCCCCCGTTCATGCCCTGTCTCTCTCTGTCCCAAAAATAAAATAAACGTTGAAAAAAAAAATTAAAAAAAAAAAATAAAATAAAATAAAAACCAACAACTTTATTTTGATACATTTTTAAATGTAGACAAAAATGAATATCTCCCCCAATGTGTAATGTATCATACAGACTCAAAAAGAAAAAGGAGGCTTGTCTATGTCACGGCCGTGACAGGGACTAAATCAGGAGTCAAACAGGCATGACAGGAATTTCTGCATTTGGTCAGCATCTACGAGCTCCTAAAAGACCTTACCTCCCAGGTAATAGCAGGAAAAGCCTACACAGAAAATTACTACATTTCCTGATGAGAAGAGTGAAGAGCAGTGGGTAAAATCTTCGTGAGTGATTTCCAGAGAGAGGTGAGTCCTCCACGGGTCCACAGGGAGCCCAGCAGGTTTCATACCTGTATGCCTGCTCTGAGTGTGGAGAGGGTCCCATAAATCAAAGACTTTCAAGGGATGAGGACATGGCAGTTCAGTCTGGGATGTCAATGTGGCCTGGCAAGGGAAATATAGATAGATGATAGATAGATAGATGATAGATAGATAAGAGATAGAAAGATGCAGTGCATAAAGGGATTGAGTGCATCAGGCTCCGAGCTGTCAGCACAGAGCCCAACGTGGGGCTCGAACTCACAGACCGTGAGATCACAATCTGAGCTGAAGTCGGACGCTTAACCGACTGAGCCACCCAGGGACCCCTGAACATTTTTTTTTTTTTTTTTAATTACAGAGGCTTAACTCAGATGGAGACTGAGGAAGAAACTACCAGTGAAGTTGAAGATAGGCCAATATAAATTATCCCACACGAAGCAGAGAGGAAAAATACTGAAGAAAAAATGGAGCAAAGCGTCAGTGACGTGTGGCATAGGAACCCCTCCCCAATCTATGTGATGCCTGAGTAGGAAAGGAGGAGACCGTAAAATATTGGAGTAAAGTCTTGCTGGACTGTTTTTCCCCAATTTGATAAAAAGGAAAACCACTCCACAGATACTCGGAGTTCAAGGAAGTGCAAGGTATTGATACAATCAGAGTCCAGTCACTGCAAACTTCAGAGCCAGAGACAAACAGGAACCGTGGCCGAGACCGGGGGTGGGGGGTGGGGAGGGGAGGCTGCCGAGTCCCACAGGGCAAGCACATCTGGGGACAGTCACTGACTGGTCACCAGGGGCAGCGCGACCCAACAGGAGGCACACACTCCGTCTTTAGAAGGAAACCCTGTGTCCCGTGAGGGCGCAAGGCGGAAACCCGAGACGAGGACGGAGACACCGCGGTCCACGGTGCCAGAAAAAACACAGAAATACCAACCTGAAGGGAAGCTTTGCCAGACGGGAGCCCAAGTCAACAAGAAGGAGAGAAGAATCCAGGAAATCGACGGGCAAATGTAAACGATGGGATGTTGACCGTCTGAAGTGAGGTGACAGGAGTGTGGTATCGCGTGCAGGAGAACGTACGGCCGTGAGACAAGACTGGGGGGGGGGGGGAACAGGCGCGTTTACGGTTCTTTCCATTTCCAGCGTGTGTACTAAAGTTTTTACACTGGAGTTCACACTGTAATACAAGGCAGCCTCTGAGAGATTAAGGATTCCTGTTGTAATCCCTAGAGAAACACGAAAAATGCAGGCATTTAGCCAACAGCCAATAGAGGAGGACGGACAGGCTGCAAACTTGCATGATCCGTGGAGAGGGAAGCAGGCACAGAGAGCCCGCGGGGTCAGTACGAGTCAGGAGCCGCATTCGGGACTGCCGTCCGGCCACGCTTCTGATCACACCAACTATAAATGGTCTAGAGCTCTTCCAAAGGACCGATTGCTGTAGAACTTGGGGTCCCACCATTTACAACAAGAAAACTGAAAAAATTATCCATCAACCGTTTTCAGACAACAGGGGGGCGCGGGACTGCTGGGCAATTGAAAAAGGGAAGCAGATCAGGAGAACTCCGTGCTCACCCAGGATTTCTGCCTGGAGGAAATTTCTAGACCCTGGTGCCGGGCAGGGGATCCCACCCCGAAGCCAGAAGCAATGAGGAGATGGCCCCACTGGGGCCAAGGTGCCTGGAACACGGAGGGCAGGCCAGGGTGAGGAGGGGGTCACAGCCTGAGGAAAATCCAGAAATCTGCATGGACGACCCCTGAGACGCTGGCTGATATCAGTCTGCAGGCGGGGCTCCAGCTGACGGTCAAGGAGGAAGTGCTGGAAAGGAGGTGGTAACACAAGGGGAAGCCAATGTTACAGGAATGGAAAGAGGAAGGAACCAAATTCTCATTATTCACAGACAAGTTATGAAAATGAACTCGCGGTTACAAGGCATGAGAGCCATGAAGAAAATCAACGCGGTTTTTGTGGGCTGAACACAACAACAGAAACTGCAACTACAAAACCAACAAAACCGACAAGACACAGGAATACATTTAAGCCAAAGACACACACACAAAAAACCTAAATGGGAAACCTAAATGGGAAAAAAACCTAAATCCTGGTGGCGGCACCCAGGTGAGACACAGGTGCAGCCAGGTGCGTGTGTGCGCAGAGGCGGGCTCCACGTGGAGCCCACGTCCCTTCCCCAGACCACCCACGAAGAGGCAGGGAGCCCCTCGAAAGCCCTTCCAGGGTCCCCCGCCAGCTGTTTCCAGCTGATTCCCACCTTCCGTGGGGGAGCAAAGCGCTCACGTCGTCCGAGATGTTTTGCCGCATCTCATAGAACAATTGGCTACAAAGGCCGCCTGAGTACGACCACAGACCACATGCTTTTGGCAAACCACAGAGGAAGTCTAGATACCAGAAACAAGTGTGGGAAAACGTCATTATGATTTTTATGGTGAATAACACATGTTTTAAATGTTTATTTAATTAATTTTTTTTTTTTTTGAGAGAGAGAGAGAGAGAGAGAGAGAAAGAGAGAGAGTGATCGGGGGAGGGACAGAGAATCCGAAGCAGGTTCCACGCTCCTAGCTGTCAGCGCAGAGCCCGACGTGGGCTCGTACTCATGAACCGTGAGATCACGACCTGAGCTGAAGTCAGACGCTCAGCCTCCTGAGCCACCCAAGTGCCCCGAATAACGCATTTTTACATGTGTCTTGAACCGCACAGTTCGTGAAGGAAAATACGAATGAATTCCATGGAAGTAAGCATCAAAACCTTCTCTTTAAAAAGACGCCATAAAAACAAAGTTAAGCCACCACGGGCCACAGTCTGGAAGCAAGTATTGGCCGCGTGGGTGACTGACGAAAGATCAGAATCTCGGCTGCACAGAGAACCCCCGCCGATCGAGAACAAAGAATGGCAGTAGAAAATCGGGCAAAAGATATGGAAAAGCATTTCATGGTAAAGGAGCCCAGGATTTTGCATAAACGCACGAAAAAAGGATCCAAGTCTCTAGCAATCAGGGAAAGGCTGAGCATCACCTGTGAGTTACCTGGGTGCCCCCCAGACTCTCCTGCTGGAACCCCAGTGCTCAGCGTGACGGTGTCCGGACCTGGGGCCCCTGGGAGGTCCTGAGGTCATGAGAGCGCTGCCCTCACGGTGGGGTTCTTGTCCTGACAGGCCCCCCGGCCCCTCCCGCCACGCGAGGACAGCCTGGAGGTGGCAACCTGCAAATGGAAGGGGGTCTCACCATGAACCCGACCAGCCTGCCACCCTGCTCCTGGACTCCCGGCCTCCAGGACCACGAGAAAGAAATCTCTGTTATCTACAAGCTGCTCGGGCCGTGCTGCTCCGGGGGCCTAAGGCAGAACCCATCCGGAAAACTAAAAGTTTACACGCCCCCGCGGGTCGGGGAAGATTTGAAGCAATGGGACGCACCGACTCCTGGCAGCTGTGTGACTGCACCACTGTGTGGGAGTAAACTTGTCAAGAGCTGGCAAATTGGAGATGCTGTAATCCCACAACCTTTGGACGCGGGACCGGGGACCTCCATACTAGACCGGTCACCCCGGTTCCCATCAGTCTGATACAAGAGGAACTGGGTAGCCCAGCAGATCCCTCGAGAGGAGAGTGGATAAATAGATTCTAGAACCTTCATGCAAGGAAACGCTCACGGAGAAAATGACCGGCTGGTGCTGTGTAGGGGCGCACGGAGCTCGCACGGTCGGGTCGCGGGGGGATGTGAGCCCTCACGCTTCACGTGGACGGCATCGCAGAGGGAACCCGACTCCCCTGTGCAGGCCCCCAGGCCCCAGGAGCAGACTGGGGTGCGGCGCCCCACGGAGGAGGCGGTGGAGAAGCGTCCAGAGCCCAGGCTGTCTCCTGGGGGCGGATGGCTCAGTTTCCGAGTGGTGGTCCGCCTGAACCCGTGTCCGTCTCTGTCCTCCTGTCCGTGTCAGGTGTGGGACCCGATGCAGCTGTCTGCCCTCCGGGCCCTCCTCCCCCAGACGCTCCCCACATGGGTTTTCCCTTCATGCACATCTCGGCCCAGAGTGCCCGAGTCAGGAGGCGTCTCCGAACATGAGGCTGAAGGTGCCACACAGCGTCCCCGGCGCACGGCCCCGGCTGGGTTCCTGCACAGCATCGACTGCTGCCCGGGGGCTCCCTTAAGGGCATCTGTCTCTGCGGGGCTTTCTCTGACTCCTGTCTTCTGCCCCTTGATGGGGAGAGGGCAGGGTGGAGAGGGACGGGCTCCCTGCAGGAGGTGGGGCTTCAGCGGCCGGCAAGGGGTTGCATCCCATGGGCTCAAAGGATTCCCCCCCAGCAAAGGCGCAGGGCCGCATGCTGAGCTCACGCAGGGCAAGGCCGCCAAGCCGCCATCGCGGGTGTGAACGTGGTGTCAGAGGGGGTGACAACACACACAGGGTCGAGGGCTCATCTGTGTGCAGAGGGGCACGGACTGGATGCACGGGGGCTGGGGCTTTGAGGAAGGGTCTGTCCCCCAGCTGACACCAGCAGCTCACGTTTACTGAGGCCGAACGTGTGGCAGGCCCCGTGCCACGTGCTTTACATGCAACCTCACTTCATCTCCCAGCACCCCAGCTCCAGCCTGGGACAGCGGACCCTGCCCGGCAGGTAAACAAGGGCCCTGAGGTCACCGGGGATGGTTGGCTGCCGTGGCCGCGGTGCCCGCTCTGACCTCGGCCGCCCTCCCCACGGCTCCAGAGGACGCTGCACAGCCTGGTGCTGCTGGGAATGGAGCACAGAAGGACAGAGGGAGGACGAAGCCGGGTCCGAGCTCAGCTCCCACGCGGCCACGTCCGCACTCTCCCACAGCTGCTAACCTGGATGTAGGCTTGGCTGGGAGCCACCGTGCAGCCAGACCGGAGCAAAATCATCGTGTGATTGAGTGTCTGAAGGAACAAGCCGGTAAGAGCGTGTCTGTGCCACGGCATGGGAGAAATCCCTCTTTGAGGCCATTTTTTTTTTTTTTTAATTTTTTTTTTTTCAAACGTTTATTTATTTTTGGGACAGCGAGAGACAGAGCATGAACGGGGGAGGGGCAGAGAGAGAGGGAGACACAGAATCGGAAACAGGCTCCAGGCTCCGAGCCGTCAGCCCAGAGCCCGACGCGGGGCTCAAACTCACGGACCGCGAGATCGTGACCTGGCTGAAGTCGGACGCTTAACCGACTGCGCCACCCAGGCGCCCCAATTGAGGCCATTATTAAGGGAACTTGTGTGACAAGGTCATTTCCTCAACGGTGTCCCCAGACTGAGTTACAATAGTGACATGTATGGTATGCTTTCCCAGAATGCCCCATATTGTCATTCCTACAAGCCCCCCCCCACTCCCTGGCCAGGGCCGGAAGGGGAGGAGACAGACATGTGGCTGCAAGCCAGGCACCTGTTAGGGGGTGCTGGAGAGTTCCAGGGCTGCCTGTGAGAGCAATACCCCCAAGGGGACCCCCGAAGATCATGCCTCCGGTGGCCATGTGGTCGTCATACTGTGACCTGTGACAAGAAACGTGTGCTGGTCTGCAGAGCAGTCTGGCACCGGGAGCTCCCCGGGAATTTCCTGAGAGCTGAGAACGGCAAAGGTGTCTTTTGTCATGTGAATCAGGTGGCTTGGGGGGGGGAGCCCACACCTGAGGAGGGGGCTGGTCACCAGAAGAACCCACCTGGGGGTCAGAGGGCTGGGATTTTCCCTCTCTGCCCTCCCGCCCCCTTCCCTGGACCCGAGAGGAGAGGGGCTGGAGGGGAAGGTCAGTCCCCAAGGGCCAGCGATGCCACTGGGCCCAAGGCAGGAAGCCGTCACACCTCCTGTGGCACCTCCTGTGGCTTCTCTTCCTGTGGCTCCTCCTGTGGCCACTGCTGAGTGCAGCCTTGCCTGCCAGCCCTGATGTGGCCAGAGGAACGTTCCTCTGAGCTCTGTGAGCCGCGCTGGAACCCGAGGAGGGGTCGTGGGAACCCCTGACTTGTAACCGTGGCTCAAAAGCACAGGTGATGGCCCGGACTTGTGCCTGGGGTCTGGGCTGGGGGGGTGCGGCCGGTCTTGTAGGACGGGGTCCTTAGCCCGTGGGGCCGGACTCTGTCTTCTGGTGGATGGCGTCACACTGAGTGCAATCGAAGGACACCCCCGGTGGCTTGGTGGGGTCAGGTAAAACCCCCCAACCTGGACTGCAGTCAGAATCCTACTGAATCAGGGTGTTGGACCTACAGAAGTCACAGAAAATGACCAGGTCACGAAGGTCATTTCAGCTCCTACCTGTATCCCTCAAATTGCCAGCCCGGAGGGGTCTAGCCCATCTACACGGAGACCCTCAGGCTACTCCGTGGAAAGTTCCCCGCAGAGAGGAACTGAGGCTCCAGACAGCAGCTGGGACAAAGTTGTCCCCACGTGGGTCCCTCTGTCTCCGTCAGCCCTTCAGAGGGCCACAGCCCGGCCAACATCCGACCGCAGCCACCCGGAAGGCCCCGGGCGGGCACCGTCCAGAACTCACATAGCCTGTGAGCGCAAGAAATGGTGTGCCTAAGGCGCTAAGGTTTGGGGCGTTTTGATCCCCAGCACGGGGCGACCACAGACACAGCAGCTGGGACACGATCAAGGCTCAAAAGGAAGCCACTGCTGCATCCCACGTTCTGACGGGCGTCCTAGGCGATGCGAGGGTGCACCCCTCTGGGCTCAGCCCCCACCCACAGAAGACGCCGCCGGGTGGGGAGTGGATGGCCGGCTGACACCCAGACCCTCGCTCTGACCGGGGCCCGAGCCCAGAGGCCGAGGCCAAGATACGCACGGTGATGACGGGGCAGGAGGCAGCTCTGTGCCTTTGAAGGACGCGGCCACCTAGCTCGGCCACGGGTGTCGGCGACCTCGCACGCCCTCCGCTGTGGCGCCTCCACAGCTGTTCCCCGACCCCTCGCCTCCCGCAGCTGACAACGACATTGAGTGCAATTCCTTCCCGGGAGTTTCTTTGTTCTTTCAGCAGCTCTTTGTTTCTCTGATCCTCAAAGAGCCTCTGAAACCACAGGGACCGGGCTGAGGAAGGGTTAAGGACGTGGGGTTCAGTCTCAAGGAGCCCAATCAGGGCCCGTGCCTGGACGCGATGATTTGTGCACGGCTTCTCAGGGAGACACGACCCGGTTTCTCTGCGCTGCCCTGCTAAGAAGGCCCGGATTTCTACGCGTAAACGCTGCGCCCCAAAGGCGGGCAGGGAGAGCAGGAAAGAACCGCTCTTCATCAACTTCTCGCTCCCTCACGGGATCGCACCGGGCTGGGCGCGATTTCCGCTCGAGTAGCCCAGCACAAAGCCCCGTCTGGGCCCCGGCCGCCTGGGGACTCCAGATTAGGCTCCCGGCATGGCCCCCCGAGCCTGGCTGTCGGGTCCTGCACGTAGGGCTGGTCCAGAAAGGCGCCCCTGGTGTGTGCTCCAGGAGGTCACAGGCCCGCGTGCGCATTGCCCTTGACCTTCCTCCGTGAGGCTCTCTCGGTGGGGCCTGGGCTGGAGGCTGCGGGGGTGGAGCCCCGCTCACGGCTGGCTGACCCTCCTCAGGTCCCCAGCCCCGGTTTCACGGCCGTGGGCGGGAGCAGGATGGGTCGTGGAGGAGTGCTGTGAGCGAGCATGGTGTGTGCGGGGTGACGGGGGATCCGAGCCAGCAGCAGGAGCCCAGAGCAGCATAGAGCTGTGCAGATGGTGAGCACAGAGCCGGCCACGGGCACAGGAAATGCAGCCCACGCCGCCCCGGGGTGCTGCCTGCCTGCTCCTGCCGGCACAGAGTTTGTGCCCCAGATTTTGCTGGAAACGTTGGAAACGGATGTGAGGCCCAGGGTCCACCCACTCCCGTACGGAGGCGGTGATGGTGTCGGGCTGCAGACTGTCCTCACCGATGGCCTGGAGCTCGTCACTCCATCCCGAGTGCAAGGCGCCCCCGTGCACCTGTTCCCCCAAGCGGATGCTGCATGACCCCCAGGAACAGGGCAATGGCGTTCAGAGTGGGGCAGCCAGATGGGCGCCACCCACCTGACTCAGGAGCTGTGTTCTAACCATGCTGTTCCAGCCGGGGCACAAGACACCCCTCCAGGGGGAAGCTCACTGAGGTTGGAAATCTGCCTGGTTTTCTCCTTCCCGAGCAGCGGGCTCTCCTCCCCGAGCAGGGACTCTCCTCCCCGAGCACATGCCTAAAGGGCTCCAAACCCTCTAGCAATCACCCATCAGAGGCCGGGATTCTGTTCCATTAGGCTAAGAACTGTTCACTGGTGTCCCATCACCGGCTTGAAGTAATCCCTGAATCCCTAGCCTGCCCTGCAAAGCCTTCTCTGAATTGCCCCCGCCTGGTTTGGGCCTGTCTTCCCTCAGGGTCTGTGTGCCCCCCGCCCCCACTCCACTGTACCCCCACTCAGACGCTCCCCTCCCCAGCTGGAGGCAGGACAGCAGGGGTGAGGGCGTGAGCTTGGGCAATGCCGTGAGCCTCAGTGTCCGTGTCTATGAAACAGGGATAGCGATGCTTCCTGCTCCGTGGGGCTGGTAAGAGGGTTACACATGGACACGTGGAGGGCGAGATACACAGCCAGCATGTGGCTCACTCCCAGTGACCAGGCACTGAGGGTCACTGTATGCTTCCCACAACACCCAGCATGACTGGGACTGCTGTCCCAGGACTATGATTATCACCATCACTCTTGCCTCTTCCCCGGGGACTCAGGGTCTCCTTCCTCCTTCCAGGCCTGCCCTTACTCACCCCTGCCTTCCCTGCCTCTGCTGGGGTCTCGGAGCTGAGGCCCCTGCTGCCCACAGCACAGGGAGCCTGGACAGGCCCAGCGTCCCTGCCGGAGGCTTTCCCTGGGGAGGGAAGGTTGGGGCGACCACACCGGGCCGGGACATGGGCGGTTTCACGTGACAATATCTCCCGCACAGCTCTCTAAAGGTCCACCAGAATTCAAATCTGCTGGTGAAACCACATCAGCCACCTACAAAAGAAAGCGATCACTGCGCAAATACAGCAAAATGCCCACACATCAGAGAGAGTAAAATCGACAGGCAGACGCTGAGATCTAGAAACACTAATTCAGGTAGGGATCGTCACCCACCGTCCAGTGTCCTATCGTGTGCTGCTCAGGTGCGGGGACACTGAGGCGTGAAGAAGCCACCCCCACGGCGCCCCAGGAGTCAGACCGCAGGCCGTGGGCCCCCGCGGATGCTCTCCCCTCCTTGGTGGAGGCAATGTCAAGGTCAGAGAACAGTGGGTCCTGTCCGTGCGGGGACCAGGGCGGTATAGCCAGTCTCTACAGCAGGGAGTCTTTCCAGACGCATCCTGGCATCTCACGTGGGACATCCTGGCTCCTGGCGGGGAACATCCTGATATCTGACCTGGGGCGTCCTGGGCCCAGCCCGCAGCAGGTGGAGTGCCCGTGCAGGAGGTCACAATGGACGGGCAGGGGAATGGACGCTTCTCATGGGTGGTCGCCCCTCTAGGCACCTTGCAAGTCCTCTGCTCATGGGGCTCTCGCCGGGACCCTGAGATGGCCCTAGAGCAGGGGTGTCCCTGGGTACCGGTGACCCACCCGTACCCAGGACACAGGCACTGAGCCGTGGAAAGCTGCGTGGCAGGTGAGTTCAGAGCTGGGAGTGTAACGGGGCGTCGTCTTCCACCCCCAGGCCCTCTCCCACAGGCAAGTCTGGACCCCTCGGCGGATCTATAAACGTCAGCCTCACGGGCCACTGGTGTGAACAGAGTGCTCTGAGAAATATGGGTTCCCAGGGCCGTGCCGAACGGCCACCTGAGGAACTCAGTGGCCACACTGCATGTGCAAGAATGCCCTGGGCAACGTCTCGGAGAGTCTGGACCCCAGGACAAGCCGACCTGCCCCAACTCGTTCCACTCGGGAACCTGATCTCCGCGCGCACAGGCTCTTGGACCCCGAGGACTCTGAAATGCCAGGCTTAATAGCCGACCTCAGCTCTCTGCATTTGCATACTCCCCGGCACCTCAGCTGTCCCTGTGCGTGGCAATGGCCTTCTGCCTCCTATCAGAGCCCTTCGTACCCTAGACTCACCCCCTCCTGGAACCTGAGCTCCTTGAGGTCAGGGAGTTAGAGATGCTGAGCATAGAGACCGTCACTGCCTGAGCACTGTGTGTGCCCCACGCAGGTCTTTGGAGCTTGGCGGGGAATCTCCCAGCCCAGTCTCCCAGCAGCCGGGCCCGGAGGGGACCCTGCGTGTTCAGAGACACAGCTCCTAGTCTATGATACCGTAGAATAGGATGTCAGTGTTTTAGTAGAGCTTGCTGGTGGGCTGGGGTGGGAATAAAAGTCTCTCCTGTTAACCGGACATGGCAGGCGGCAGGGAGGCCTGCGTCGGAGGCAGGCAGCACTTGGAGGCCTGTTGTGCTGGTCCAGAGCCAGGAGGCCACATGGGAGGTGGGTGTAGGGGAGGGGGTGGAGAGTTGGGGGTGGTAGCCGGGCACAGAGGGGCAAGGTCAGGCGATTACCGACCGGTTAACTGGCCGGGGCTGGGAGGGGGGCACTGGTGTTGACGGCATTGGGTGCACGGCCCCCCACCCCCACAGCCCTGCCACAGCCACACCGCTCCTACACAGTCGCCCTTGAAAAGCAGGCCTGGTGTCCATCAGACACTGTGCTGATGTCTGGTGGCTCCTGGTCCCCAGGGCTTCTATCGTGTGGCCACGAAAGGTGGACTCTCAGACGTGCGCTGCAAGGAGCAGGGACAGGAGGGTGCTGGCGGTTTCCAGCAACAGAGAGAAGCCCAAGCGACTGAGGAGAGAGAACAGGAATCACATGCATGTGCGAGTCACGTTCTGAGCCTTCTGCGCCAGTTCAAGGTTAGCCGGGGCCTTATCCTCAGCACGCCGGGAAATGCTCCAGGGCCATCGGCCCAGCACAAGACCCCATCCTCTTTCAACGGCAGCAGTGGACTCTTTCCCCATCTTCCTAAGCACAGCGTGTGTCTGCCCTGGCAGCGCCATGAATGCCGTCCCCAGCCCAGTGAAGATTCCTGCCAGACAACAGCAGCCCACGCGTGTGCTGGGGAGTGTGCAGGGTCTCAGGAGAGAGCGTGCCTCTTGAGGGCAGGTCTTTGCATCGGTTCCTTTAAGGCCGACTCCCCAGGGGCCCCGTTCACTGATTAACCCCCTGAGCCTCCTGGCTCCCGATTCGCAGTCGAAATCCTTCCGAGCTCAGCTGGAGAATGTGTCCCGAGTCCCCACTTGGCTCAGAAGCACAAAGACGATGCATCTGGGAGCAGGCTCGAGCACGTCTCCTGCACCCGAGCCTACAGCAGGGGTTACGGACGTAGCAGAAGCTACATAGATATCATTAAGGGCAAGTGTAATTTACAGCCTCTTAAAGCGTTTGGAGTCCAGAAAGGGAGAGAGAAGGGGAAGAAAAAATAGAAACAGTAGCCACCGCACTAATTTTACCAGACGCCCTGTGGTCTGGATTTTTAAAACTTGCATTTCAAAGAGATCTGGAACCTCTTCCCCATTCATCGAGCGGTTACTTTGCAAACTCTGCTTGATTCCTGGGCTCATCATGAACTTTATGAATTCTGTATTTTTTACACCAGGGCTCTTTGAAGTTTTATCCTTAGAAAGCACAAAAAAGAAAAAAACAAAAAACGAAAAACCAACCCCACAAAACCTAAGTGGGACTTTTTTTTTTTTAATAAAAAAGACTGTGCAGCTTCTACAAGTTCATATTGGACAACCGCTGATGGATTGAAACATAAACTTGAAACTAAGTAGCTGTGTGGAAATTCACATGGGGCGACAGTCATTCAGGAGAGTAAATTTGAGCTCCGCCGGGTGATGCTGACGAGGCATTACTGAGCTCCCAAAGCAAGACGCTCAAAGGTGTGGGTGATACAATTTATTGTTGCAAAGCAATGACACAATAGAAAGCCTGCACATTTAGTTATGGGTGTGTGTGTGCATAGACGCACTTATGTGCACGTGCGCTGTGCGCTCGGACGTGCGGCAGACACGACGGGTGTGCGTGCACAGGTGTGTGTGTGTGTGTGTGTGTGTGTGTGTGTGTGTGTGAAGTGGGCAGTATGGATTTGCCGGAGTTGCAGGGGGGAGGGGAGGGGAGAACCGGGGGATGCCAATCAAGGAAAGAAATTTTAGAAAGGGCGTGTTTGGAAACATAGTGCGCTCTTACGCACCTTTTGTGAAGTACGCACAGCATGTATATAATAAATCAAATTTACAATTAAAAGGAAATGAGGGCTGGGTATCTCCCAGAGGATGAAAAAGAAGGAAATGATGTCTAAGAAAGTGGTTCATAAGCGGTGGAGTGAACTTCCGGATGAAATTATTACTGTTGTCAAAACCGCTTCAGTAATGCTGAAGATTGTGGTCAGGCATGATGAGGCCGCTAGCCTCTGGTCAACTCTGGGCAAACATTAACCACAGAACACTTCCCTCTTCTATCTGGATGTGCCCAGGCGCTCATTTGGCCACCTCTGTTCTGGGGGGGGGGCCCTCCCCATTAATTTGCTCACACAGTGCACAGTCTACTACCTTCTTCTCCCCAAAAGCCCA